TAATCTATCGTGCGAGGGGAAGCGAAATTATCCACAGAATGCACATTCTTAAAGTGATAAGACCCACAATTCATTGAATTATCTCATTATTCATGTTCAGAAATTTTTTAATCATTAAAAAACTGGTTTGTTGTTGAAAAAAACTTTCACACGTTAAATTTGGAGTGACATTTTCGTTAAAATTTACCCCTAAATTCTAGAAATTGTGAGAAAAACTAGTAAAAAATGCAATACGTCTTGTCAAAATTCCAATAATTCAGGTGAAAAATTCCACAAATCTGCACGATTACCTGTTCTTTGGACTAATTTTAATTAATATATTTTTATCTTCTAGCAATCCCCTTCATATTTCGCTGTTAGAAAAAAAATTGAAATTTCATAGACATTTTAGTGATACTTTTCAAGATTGGGACATCGAGTTCAATTTATATCAGAAGGGAAAAAAGGGAATACCAAAATTTCAAATTCGAGCAACAGAAAAACGAGAAGTCCCAAATTTAATTGAAATTTTCAAACGAAACATGAATATTAAGTAGCAAACCACAGAGATTTTTCAATCAATAGAAAATTCAGGAATATATTTATCCGAATTTTCTTGATTACTATTAATTTTTGTAGAATAATTGAATTGATATTCGCAGTTTCCGTTTCAACGATGAAATTCCTTGAAATTTCGGAAAATTTCAGTGGATTTTCCATTTTATAATAATTTTGAGAAAGTGCACTGTTAAAAAAATGAAATTTCATGGACAGTTGACTACTAATTTTTAGGACAGTGGCACTGAATGCGATTTAGGGAAAAAAAATCATGAAATTTCAGGTTTTACGGCAAATTCAGTAAAATTCCAGAATTTTAAGCAGCATAAAGACATCGTCTTTATTCCTTAATTTATTTGAATTTCCAATTTAATATGAATATTCCATGGCCAATTAGATTGAATTTTCTGTGAAATCTGAAATGTAATTATTATTTCCCCCCTAAATCACATTCAATGTCACTGTCCTGAAAATTCAAGAATATATTCGCCGCAATTTTCTATTTTTCTAATCATTTTCAGGGAAAAATAGAACTGAAATTGACAGTTCTCTTTGATTTTTCCACGAAATTCTGAATTTTCAATGACGAAATTCCTTGGAATTTCAGTCGTAATTAAATTCGACAAAAATTTCCAAAAAGTGTACCGAAAATTTCCGACAAAAATTTTTAACAGTGCGCAGGGGAATTTTCAACTAAAAATTGTCAACAATGTCCCACAATTTTTGAATAATTTTCCAATGTGACCTCTACAATCAGGTGATGCCTGCTCACGTAAGGCCCACCTACTCTAACGCACATCACGTAAACACTGACATAAGGCATAGCTCTCGAGTCGAATGGAGGCGTTCCCACGCCTCAGTTCTATCTCCATCAGTCTCTCTCTCTCTCCATCTCACATATCGTAATGCCCCCAAAGCGCAAAAAAAGAATAACCACCAGTGACATTACACACAACATAGAACATTTAGCGTGTTTTATACGTTCACGTACACCGTGACGAATGCAACAATAGGGTAATGGGGGTAGCGCCCACGTGAAAAACCCTGGATTCATTCTAGCCTGTACCTACCATGATGGAGAACTCTAAATTTCTGCATTTATTATCGTGATTTTCGTTTTGTTTCTCTCCCTTCAACCTCACGGATTCATTCCGGTTGAGACTAGTTTGGAGATCGCGGCCGTGAGATTCTGAAAAGTTATCATGATGGATTGGAGAATTGAAAGTCACTCGATGACCGTCAATTTCGGGATATTTTTTATTTCTGGTGGTGAATTAATTTATTTTAGAGCGGGGAAAGAGGAGTCGCACAGTTCAATACAGATTATTTTGCAAGTATAATTGAAGGAAATGTCTGGAGGAATTTTCGTTGCTGATAAATCCGTAGCGAAGTGGTAAAACAGTTTAAGTCGACTCATCTCCCAGTTGAGTTTTTGAGGAATATTTCCAAATCTAAGGGAGATAACGAAATTTTCGTAATTACATTTGTTGTAGCCCTCACTCGGCTCTACAAAAAAGGTTATAATAAAAAATTTGCTATCTCCCTTAGAATCCGAGATATTCATTGAAAACTGGTCAATAGTCAAAATTGACTCGTACCATTTTACCACTTCGCTATTGAAATATTTTCATCACAGATGAAAATTAGTAATTACAGACCTCGCCTTATTATGGTATTTTAAATTAGTTCATCAATCTTATTCCAAAAGTAAACGTTCCAATTTCTTTTCAGATTTTTAAAACGTTTTCTGACGATTCAATATCGAGATTCAAATTTAGACCTGTAAAATTTCAATAATAAAATCATTGTAAAATATCCAGAAACTTAGGGTCAAATGAGGCTCAAACGAAAGTTCTGATGTTCGACTGCAAAAGTAGAAAAGTATTTCACTGCTGATAACATAGCTAAAGCACTTGGAAATCTTAAAATGAAGAAAAAACCCCAAGTTGTGATTGCTCTTTTAGAAATATTTTGATTGAAATGAAAACAGGTCTGCGCTACTGCACAAATATTTTTCAAAACAAACCTCTAACAAGGTGAGTGGGACGAGGCTCGCGATTCCTCTGGGTTTTCAGTCAGTTTACAAACACTCGTCGTACCACTAACAGAGGAGACACATTTCAACCGAGTTGAAGAGGAACGTTATGGGTATTGTTACTTCGTATCTCGACATTTAGTTTCAATGTTCATTTACGTCTTGTCGTTTTGCGAGTGATCTATCGAGACCGGAGGTGATGGAACTCGGTCAAACTCTGTTTTATCGTGATTAGAATACGTCCAACCGGCTTTTTGTGCCGATGTGAGGTGTTTACAACCTGTTTTACGGACTCCAATACTATTTTTCAATTATCAGTATTGAGTTTCCTTCTGGAAGAGGTGAAATATGACACGATTTTTTTTTACATCATTCGATTGAATTTCTTTATTTCTGCTGTTCGCCGGTGGACGATTGAGCGATCACCTTTCGTCCTCCGGTCGATTTTATTTGTGAAACGCAGTATAATAGACGGATCCGATGACGAAGGACAGCGTAGGAGGAGTCGTCCGCGAGTTATTTCAATTTTTATGATCATTTTTCTATCTAGTTTCTTAGGTGTTTGTTTCATTGGGTCACCCACGGGTTTTTTTTCGCGGTATTGATTGGTATTTCAACACGTATATTTGCGGCCGCGATAACTGGGGGTAATTTATAGCTTGGCGCAGTTGGTGTTTCATTGGAGCTTTGGGTAATTGAAAAATCAGGAAGCGGATTTTTACGAGGATTGTGGGCGAGTTTTTTTCGCGATCGAGGGGTAATGCCGGAATCACCCACGTGGCTTAGCTTTTGTTTATTCATGGTATGCGATTTTTTAGGAGGGAATAAGGTGATGAGAGGTGTTTTCGCCCACGAGGGCATGATATCCGCGAAATTATGTTTTCGGGGGAAGAAAGCGGTGATGAGAATTTTGATAAATTTGAGAATGTTAACGCCCACGTGGGCCTGGGATGTTTCTTGATGTGTTATGGAATATGAGAACCTTTTGGATTTAAGGAGACGTTTATTTTGTTTTAAGACAATTTTCTGGGTGAAAAGTGCACCTAGAGAGATGGTTCATTTAAATACACTGTAAAAAATTAGGGATTGATTCGGATATCAAATCGGTGTCCCACACTGATAGAAAGGATTAGTTATTGTTAACGAATGGATTTGCTTGGCGATGATGGTCTATTCGGTCTCACCAAATGTCCATTCGTTAATAGTTAACAAATGCACATTTGAGAAGCCTTGTTCGACTGGATTTTCACTTTTCAAGTGAACGATTCATTAACTTTTAACGAATATTCATTTGGTCATGGTCAACTTTACCATTCGTTAATAGTTAACGAATTTTGTTTGGAATAAATGAATCAGTCTATCAGTGCGGAAAGTACTTTCAAGTACAACCAAGTACTTTGGTTATTTTTGCTCTAATGAAATGCTTTTCTACTTTTATAGTTGAACATCAGAACTTTCATTTGAGCCTCATTTGACCCTAAGTTTCCGGACATTTTACAATGATTTTATTATTTAAACATTGCAGGTCTACATTTGAATCTTGATATTGAACCGTTAGAAGACATTTAAAAAATCTGAAAAGAATTAGGAAGTTTACTCTTGGAGGAATAATATTGAAATAACCTGAAAATGACGAGCATTTTCTATAAATAATTCATTAACAATCAATTGTCCACCATAAAAATCATTTGTTTGAAAGCATAACAAATTTGTTCATATTCCGAATTTTACCAGAAATCGCTTGAATGCCTGAAAAAATAAGATTTCTGAAAGTTTAAATTAGTTTAATAATTCATTTATATACAACGAATGTTTAAAAAATAATTCTATGATAAATGTAATTTTAATGAAGCTGAAAGTTCATGATTTTTTTTTTAATTTTCTCACGCAATTTGACAATGATAAATTTGATGATTCAAAATGGCTGAATTTGTATCAAATTGTAAAAGATGTCACAAGGGTCAGATGAAGGGTCTAAATACGTGTCACAAGGGTCTAAATAAGGGGCATGGGGGTCAAAAACCGAGCATTAGAAACTAAGGGTCACGAGGATTAAAATAAGGGTTACAAGGGTCAGATTAAGGCTTCAAATAAGGGTCATGGGTGTCAGAAACTAAGGGTCACAAGGCTCAAAATAAGGATCTCAATATCTCTCTATACTGTAAAAATCCAAACCAACTTCTGGTGACGAAAATTTGGTGCTTCAAATAAGTCTCCAAAATTAAGGGTCAGAAATGAAAGGTCAAAATAAGGTCACAAGGGTCAGAATAAGGATCATGGGGGTGATATGGGGTTTGGCGAGCGGAGCGAGCAGGGGCCGTAGCCCCCTACTTAAAAACCTAATGATTGATGCCGATGCCTGTCCATAAAATGCGAAATATCACAGAGAAAGTTATTCACACTAGACTATTTTTCGCTCTGTCCACAGGGAAATTATCATTTTGAAAGGACCTAATCAAGAATAATCACCGAAGCAAAAATGAAGTTGTCGTACACATCAAATAGATTTCCTCCAACGCAGCATACGCGGTATCGCAGCAGTTGGGGGCCATCCTCAGTCTCAGCATTTTCGCGCGCCGACATACCACGTCCCTCACCCGAGGAGGAAGAGTTTCAGTTTTATCATGAGCGCCTTCATTCCGCCCAGAGCCGTCAGTTGATCCCGCTCCAGGAGGATTTAGCCGATTGGATCAACAAGACGATAAGTGAGTGTACAAATTACCCTTGCTATATCTTCCGTAATCCATCAAAGTTTTATCCGGTGAAACTTGGTGGTTACTTCGCACGCGATTTTTGGGTGCAAAACTGTGCCGAATTTTTTCGCCGCGATTTCACGTGATTTATGGTGTGGATTTATGGACGGTCGGAAATTTAATGGAGTGAATGGCGAAGTTTATTTGATTTTGGATTTTTATGTTCTTGTCGTAAAAGATTATTATGGGAAAATCGGGAATCGATCGCCCACAGGATTGCACATTTTTGTTTCCGAATGGAAGCCTTGTAATCATGATTTTTTTAGATTTCCTAATTTTCGGTGGCAATGCCTAGAAATGTCATGAAAAGTGAAGAAATAATGTTTTTAAAAAATGTCTGTATCTGTGTGCCCATTTATGTCCGGTTGTGCAGACGCTGAAATTCTGGCTGCTAATTGGTACTGCTGCGCGCGCCCATAGAGAGGAGAAAAATAGGGATCAGCGGGTTTCAAATAAGATACCTCACTCCTTGCGCCTGAATTCAATGAAATTTCCATTTTTACTGAATGAATATCGCTAGCTGATGAATTTATATGTGTTTAATGTTTTGAATTTGTATCGCCCGTGTTCCCTTTTCTTTCTAAACATAACCCCGCGTGATAGAATGGCAGCTGATGTTGGGGTATTGTTGGTGAACTCGAGAATAACCACAGCCGAAAAATTAAGATTTTTCGATGGGAAAAGTGAAAAAAAATCGATGTATATTTCCATTGCTTGAAAAAAGTGGTGTGACCCCCCCTTAAGGTCATTCGACCCTCATGATCACTTCGTTCGTCCCTCCCGTTTGACCCTTAACACCGTTTAATCCTTATAACTACTCTCTTCCCGTTGAAAAATGACCAGGGACATAGGTATCTTATAAGAAGCCCACGGAACATAAACATTCGGGAGGCGATAAAAGTGCCGAGAGTGGGGGGTAGACCTCGAGTGCTCGGAGCGCGAGGTATCTTATAGAGAGGTATCTTATACGAAGCCTCTACTGTACTACTTTAAGAGGTAACGATACTCCTTCCATGTTGAGGCCATTGCACAGTATAGCAATGGAGGGATTGACGTTTTTAGGTTTAAATTGAAAAATTAATAACTACGACACGAGGACTATTCTAAAATTCAACACATGCAAGGGGTACCGTTACCGCTTAAATAGGAGTTGCGGAGACAAAACCGTGAATATCTCGAAAACTACGGGCCCCAAAGGCGCTATCCTCTTCATGCGGACGTCCCCATATATTTGAGCACGAAATCATGTTCTTTATGGAGCAGAAGATTAACAGAAAATTCAGTGAATGGGATGAATTGACTAACAATATTTGTTTTCGCTTCTGGAAGATTCTTTATTCATGGAGAAAATTATTGGAAAATAATAACTGAATGTAAAAAAATTCGATCAGGCAATTTTATGAACGAGAGGAATCTATTGTCTAAACGTTCAAATTCATTTGATTACTAAATAATAATTAAAAATAGGAATGAATCTCTCATAGAGAGGAATTCTACGTGAAATGAATTATCATAAAATTCAATCGATGAACACAAAATCTCTTCGATGTTTCTTTTGTAGAAGACTTCAGTTTCATTTGCAAAGTATTCACGCTCTCGATTAAACGAATTATTCCATTCATAAATTTTAAAAAATATCAGACAGATTGATTCGACTGAACAAGAAATTTTTTTTTTTCATTAAAGCAATACCTCCAATTTAAATTTCAAATATCGTGAATATGAATTCAATTTAAGATAGAATCGATTTTCGAATGTCTGTTTCGCGTCGAAAATTTAGGAAAATTTGGCTGTTCATATTGGATGATCATTGATATTTAAAAACGGCAAGAATTTTCAAACGCATTGTCAAAATCAAGCATTCCATTTAATCGAATTGTCAACAGTTCCTTGAATTTTGAAAAATTTTACTACTTTTAATTGTCGTAGGTGTCTGAAAATGAGAATTTCATTGACTGATTCAGAAATCAACTGTTTTGCCAACCATAATACACCTGAGAATTTCATGCAAATGATTTTTCAGTTAATACTATCAACATTGATTTCCCAACATTACACTCTAAAGGAATGATTTAGAAGAATCCCTGAATTGATTCATATTTCTACTATTCTGTTTATTACGTATTCTCAAGGATTTTATGTCACGTTAGACGAAAGAAAAAAAAAGAATTTATGTATTCGTGACGTAACCCAGTGCAATTGGTATCAGGCGATCATTTTGGTCGTGTCTACCGTGCCTGGCGTGTTCCATTCACTCTCTTCTCTTTTCTCTCATATCCCTCATTCGTTTTATATTTCCTCCTCCTCCCCCCGCCGCCCGGTCTCTTCTCTTTCGTCTCCAAAGCACCGGATAGCTCGTTCGCTTCGTGTTTCATTCAATGCACGTCGTGCGCCATTCACTGCGCATCTAATAAACGTTTTCTCTCATTCTGGAGCCCCTCGGGGGCTTGTGTTTTACACCAATGCCGGGGGCTCCTAGAATGATACCGAGTAGAACTTCCTTTCAAGGGGCTACTTGTCATTCTTCACGTTGAAATAATTATTAATCACTTGTAGATGAATGAAAAATGGTAATTTTGCTTCCCCATGCACTGAGGAAAAATTTGAAGTTCGATTTACAATAAGAAAATAGTTGAGGCAGTTTTGGTGAACGATACGATTTTTTTTGTATGCGGCACATAACATTATAGTAATTTCACAAGCGTAATTTTTGCAAATCAAAATGCAGTTGAACTAACCAAAGTTCAAAAGTAACCACGACAAATCTATCGTGAGTAGAACTATAAAATAGTTGCGATGACTACATTACATTGTAGTAATTAGTTCTCCGGCCATAGTTACCGTAACCCATGAAAAATTGTTGAGGGCTTTGTGACTATAATTCGATGGTGATAGTCGGAAGAATCATATTTTTCTCTCAGTGTGGGAGCTTTGTAATCGTTCAAATGTAGATTTTGGATTTTTTTGTTTTATATCGACCCAGTATGATCTACACTGTCAGAAATTTCATTCATAATGTCATCTGAATTTTCATTGTTGTGAGTTTGAACCCAATTTCAAATGAAAACGTTCACTAAATTTCTCATTCATCGTGAAAATTGAACATCACATACAATTGAATTTTTTATGCTACTATTCAGACAAGTTGTTGCCTGAATTTATGGACCTGAAAATCGAGAATTAATTGAATATTCAAGAAATTAACTGATTCGTCAATGAAGAATTCAGTAGCGAAGTGGTAAAACGGTTTAAGTCGACTTATCTCGCAGTTGCGTTTTTGAGGAATATTTCTCAATCTAAGGAAAATAGCAAAATTTTCGTAATTACATTTGTTGTAGCTCTCAATCGGCTCTACAAAAAGTTTATAACAAAAATTTTGTCATCCCCCTTAGAGTCCGAGATATTTATTGAAAACTGGTCAATAGTCAAAATTGACTTGTACCGTTTTACCACTTCGTTACTGAATTCTACAAAAATTTTATATAACTTTGTTGTTGTTAAAAAGTTCAAGCTTTTTTGGAAGCATTGTAATCGTTCGAATTTGAATTTTGAATTTTTTGCGTTATGTCGACCCATTATGATCCAAAAAGTCCGAAAATGCAATTTTTAGACCGTGTCCGTACGTATGTGCGTTGTAAAGTTTTCCGTCAATTCTTCGCTAATGAATCCATGGAATGAAATCATTCCTTTTTCTCAAATGTCATTGTTGAGACCTATCCATCGCCATTAACTAAAATTTAATTCATTGATTAGCTTTTGAATTTTCGATTTTTTTCGAAAATCGCTTGTCCCACGATAATTTAAAAAAATGTTCTGAATTGATTGAATGATGGCTTAAAAAATTTATTTGGATGTGCTTTTGACCGAGTTTGTCGATGAAGACGATAGCAATAATCGTTATTTTGATTTATTTGAAAATTCGCAACAATTTTGTATTTTTTGAACATCAAAATTCCGGGGATATCTTTGAATATCATTCTTCAGATGAATTCAATCATAGCCTAAAACGTTTGTTTTAATGCCATTAAGTCGAAGTTAAAAGATGATTGTGATAGCTATATTGGTTGATTTCATTTTTATGATGATTGTTGAAAATTTCGAATTTTTCATGAATTTCCCTGATAGTGAGCTTTTTGATTTTTTCTTCAAATGTGACGTTTCAAATTCATTCAAGTATGTGTAAATAAAATTTTTCTATTACCATTTTATCGAAGGGCTGAGGGGAGATATAGAATCGTAAAAAAGACAATCGGTTGTATCGAAGGACAAGATAATAAGAATACTAATGATAATAACATTCAACTAAGTTTAAAATCTGATAAAATTAGTTGAAAAGAAATCTTTTTCAATTCAATAAAATGAAATAAACAATGAATTATACATGATAGAAGGAAATGATGTGCAAAATAACCATTCTGTAGCATATTGTTAATTTATTATCCAAAATAACTGTACTATATGCAATACAACAGCAATTTCTCACTTGTTTTTCGCTATACTCGTAAAATTTGTCTCGACGATATTTTGGCTGTTGCCAGATGTTGAGCCCCACTCTTGGGCTGGAAGAAATTGTCGTTTGTAACGTGGTAACCGCAGCAGTTGAGCCACAAAGATACGACATGTGTTTAAACGTGGGAAAGGATACTCACTCATAACATTTGCGCATCCGTTTACCATTGCGAGTTTCGGTTTAATAGGGGTTCACCTTGCAGAGTTATTTCCATTGGATTTTTCGACTGGATATGGAATTGATGTTTTTCTCAGGTATTTTTGGAGGAAATTGGTCGATTACGGAGCCTTACTACATTTTTGCTTCCGAATGGGAGCTGAGCAATCTTCATTTTTATTTCAATTTTCTAATTGTGAGTGAAAATGCACAGCAATGTCATGAAACAGAAAGAAATGATGTTTTTCAGAAATGTACGTATGTACGTCTCAGGTTAGACCATGGA